ACGACGCCCCCCCCCGGTCCCCCCATGTCAAAAAAAGCCCGGTCTAGGTAGGGTTAAAGCTATCTAATGACAATGCCCCTACCTACTCATGTTGCCGGCATGTCTGCTTGTATTACAGCCAAGCCTGTGGGGTCCAAATCTACCTACGCTGGCATCAACACGATGAGGAAGACAGCGGCCCTCAAAGGTACCCCGTCAGGAATCTCATTCCAACATATTATCACATACCTCTAATCCTATAATCCTATGGAGCCGTACAAATTATCAAAAGACGTTACCTGATCTCCTCTAATCCGGTTACGATAAGCTCGAGTTATTCCGACTGGAGCGAAATGGAAGATTTAAATGATTTAGCGGAAGAAACAGACATGTTGTCGGGGTTTGGGATTTCGCGGGGAGTGCGGTAATCCTACACAATGCTATCACAAGATTTGCAAACCTAATAGATTAAAATGGCAGCACACTGAGTTTCTATTGAATGTCATTGACTATGTAAACGTCTAAAATATCATAATATATATCAACATTTAGAGAGCATCTTTAAGAGCGTGGTTACATCCGTGGCTTATACAAAACATCCACAGCATATTAATAATGTTTTCCCATACGCATAATCTTTTTAGTGAGCCTCGACAACAACAATTTTCTTTTTAAAAGTGACTGTTTTAAGATGCTTGTATGAGTGTAAGCGTTACGTCTATGATAAAATCAGTACCTCAGATTGGAGCAATCCTTGTCATAAGAGCCCCTGCAGAATGGCCAGCCTACCAGCATGCAGTTGGTATAGTTATTTACAGTTCCTCCCTCCGGAGTCTATCGACCTATTCGGACATTTAGTGCCGGGCCCACATGGTGGAAATCTGCGGTAGAATATCAGCCAAAATTGAAAACAACTGCATCCCACCACGGAACGGTTATTACGGGGCCATAAAAAGTGCACCGGGGGTTATTCTATCGATTTCTGACGAAATGTCAGGAAGGATATACGCGTCATATCTGGAGTATTGCTATCACGGCAGACCAGACGATACAGTTATTGGTTCTAAGCCTGAAGAATTATGACATCACTACATCAGCGCCACGGTAAAACATTCCGGCTACAGCTCGTTAAACTGTAAAGGAAAGGAACTTAGATATGAGACAGTAAATCTTTTACTTTTACCTTCGCCAAGGTTATGTTTTCTGGCTGTGTGTGTGTGTGTCCGTGTGTGTGTCAGTGTGTGTGTGTGTGTGTGTGTGTGAGTGTGTGTGTGTGTGTGTGTGTGAGTGTGTGTGTGTGAGTGTGTGTGTGTGAACATCACAACTCGCGAAGGCATAGATGGGTAGGTCTTGATGACATCTCGACATGTATAGGTTTGCCCCACTGGCGGCTTGTTATGGTACTGCAGCGAAACTTCTTTTTTTTTTATATCTCGTGATCTGGACACGCTAGGGTTATGATTTTTGGACAGCCTGTTCTGGAACTGCAAGGGCGCTTGTTGAAAAATATTCAATGTAGTATAACTCAAGAACCGCTTGACGGATCATCATGATTTTGTTATGTAGGTAGCTTAAGTGATGCTTGACATAAAGAAATGGCAATTATGCAAAACAGGATCTAATTTGTATAATTGCCTTTCAAATTAACATGAAAGTTCATCTCTGAGTTGGTAAAATACATGGAGAAAACCTTTACTCAACCGTGACGGGGGGCGGTACCGACTTCTGACGAACTTTGACCCAGTGCTTCACATGTGGCTAAAAGTCATGTGTGCACAGCACTTGGGTTATAAAGCTGATAAAGACAGCGATTCAGTCGAAAATTTCTGGTGAGTTAATTTCTTTTTTTTTTTAGTTGGAGAACAGTTTAATTTTCTTCATGATTTTCACATTTTCCCCCCAGGTTCGCGACGGTTTGCGAAGGCGCTGTACTCCTACGTGCCTCACGAGGAGAACGAACTGCGTCTGGATGTGGATGATGTCATCGAGGTGCTGGAGGGGGAAGATGGAGGCTGGTGCCTGGGTTACCTGAGGGGCAGGATAGGCCTGTTCCCCTCCAACTACGTCAAGTTCATACAGGACCGGAGAGGTTTGTATAGAGTAGATGAATGAATGAATTGAAGTTTTTGTGACGTAGTCGAATATGGCAATAACTCGAGATCTTTATTTGTAATCGGATACAGATTGTACAGATGTACAGATGCAAATTCATGCACAGATGCAGATTCATGTACAGATATACAGATACAGACTTTCCGAGTAGGATGACCGTGTCAGTCCCTACACCTGAGTGAGGGTTACAGTTGACACGATGGCTTTCGCGTGGATTTGTTTAAGATGGAGAATCCGAGACCCATACACTTGGGGCATCCGTCTTCTCCAGCTAGCCCATATAGATAGTTTGCAAATTGGCAATTACATAACAGAATAATTAGTGTAATTACATCGCATGCAATTAATTAATCCATAATTCATTTTAATCTTCATTATTATTTTCTGGCGTCCCAATATTGGAGCATCCTTCAAATGCTTTCTTTACGCCACTAAATCAATGTGTCCTTGCCCTTCAGTACAGTATACATTTCAAGGTCATATATTCGTGTTGAAGAAGAATGAAACTGAAGCTGTATTTTATTGGAAAGTGCCAGGGAATTTATCGATCTGGCGCTACTATATATGGTCCAACGTGTAAGGTCGTTTCATTTGCTATTGGGTTTCATGAAATCAGAATCGTCTGGGTTTTGTTTGAGCCTTTGCTCATTTAATATTTAAATCGACCCGCTAAACGCTTTTAGTTGACATTATGAGGAAAGATGCAGGTTTTATGATTATAATAAACCAAGCACCACTGGCAGATTCTTCACGTCATTACCGTAGTTTCAACACAACGTTTCTAAAACGTCTAAAATTTTCTACAATTGAGTTTTGTTTGTTTGTTTGTTTGGGCCTTGGTTTATACGTATGCGTTTAAATCGCCCACTGACAGCCTTTCGTGGAGGTCATACATATTTTATGATTAAAGTCCTAACAAATCCATAATAAACCAAAAAGACGCCTACCAAGCACCACTAGCAGATTTCTTAACTTTACCGTAGTCAGTTTTGACCCCATACGGTGGTTTGAGGGTAAACTTTACTGTAGTTACAACACAACGTCTAAACAATTATATAATTGACAATTTGCGGAGCCATCTGAAGCCCAGAGAAATCTGATGCTCATTACTAATGCATGGGAAAAGCCCTATGGCTGGTTTTGCGGTGAATCCGCAGTAGGAAACATGGAATCCACCCCACTAGACCACGCATAAACTTTCCAGGATAACTCCATCAACAATGTTCCAATCTCAGTAAAAACGTGCGAGAAGTTATAAGACATATATACAAACTCATAGAAGGAGTTTCGTTTTCGACCAGAATTGTTAAAATGGCACATAATTATATACGCCTGGGGTCCGTTTTGGCCCCGTATGGTGGTTTGAGGGAACTTTACCGTAGTTACAACACAACGTCTGTAATTGACAATTTATGGAGCCATCTGAAGCCCAGAGCATCCTGATTCTCATGACTTATATATGAGAAAAGCCCCGTGGCTGGTTTTGCGGTAAATCCGCAGTAAGGAACACGGAATCCTCACGTGGAGTAAAGTGACAGTGATGCATGACGAAAAGACGAGGGTTTAATTTGTTGTCTGACACATCGCAATCGTCTGTTTGCCTCTGCAGTTTAACAAGTCGTTCGTTGTAATGTAGCCAGTTGTTGTGTTACGCCCAAAGGCGGTTATACCGGCTATACAGATACAGATACAGAATCCTCACGTGGAGTAAAGTGACAGTGATGCATGAGGAAAAGACGGGGGTTTAATTTGTTGTCTGACACATCCCTATCGTCTGTTTGACAATAATAAATAGATACAAGAACAGTCCAATTCCGTACACGATAAAACTACTAAACGAACAATAACTTCTCCGCATTTAGAACATTATTACGATGTAAATATTAATATGTGTACCAAATGTCAATTTGGAAATAGCCTTATCTATTGATGTAAAAAGTATGCAATTCGGCTACTTTACCTGGCTGCAACGTACCTTTTAAGGATCATGTTGATCAAATAAACCATTCATTCATCTATTCATTCATTCATCCATTCAGATATGATTTTGGAAACGGTCAGACGTTTCAGCTAGTATCCACTAGCTTTAGTTAGTGACTGAGAGACCAGAGGAGAAATGCAGGTTAATAAGCTGACGAAAGTTAGTGAATAAGCTAATCCAAAATCATATCCAGTCGCTTGTCGAATGAGTAACTGCTTTTTGGCGCAAAGTGACAGTGATGTATGACGAAAAGACGAGGGTTTAATTTGTTGCCTGACACATCCCAATCGTTTGTTTGTCTCTGCAGTTGCCGCGGCCCGCCAGATCGCCGAGGCAGAGGAAATACAGATGAAGCGGAGTGTTTAAAGGCGACGGGACGGACCAGTTTGATGGAGCACTGTTGTACCGAGAGACTGTTTAAAGACATCCAGTGCGATTTCAGGGCAGCAAAATTGAAAATATCTTTGTCATATTCGCATACTACTTCACATTAGCACATTTCAATCAGTACTTCATACTTTGGGCTTTTAAAACTGCAGAAACAAGCCCCCAAAAGAGTGCTTTATTTTCTGGGTGGTACCCTAAAAATCAGCACAGGGCCCTTTCAGTAACCATTTTCCGTCAGAATTTTGGGAAATTTTGCTCCATGAGGATCAATATACACCGGGATAGTGTGGTTTCAACTCACTATGTAGATAGCTTTAAACAATATCTAGAGTAAGATGCTCAAGGGCTAGGTGTAACAAGTCGTTCGGTGTAATGTAGCCAGCAGCCGCCACGCCGCGTGCCTGCGAAGCTGGTGTTACGCCGAAAGGCGGTTATACCGGCTATACAGATACAGATAAATTACTAGAATATTGGCTTTAAAAAAATCGGGTTTCCAAGCCCCTAAAACTGCACTGGATGCCTTTAAAGGCGACGGGTTGAACCAGTGTGATGGATCACTGTTGTACCGAGAGACTGAGAAACGGTCTCTAGACGGAAGCACCTTCATCCGTACACTTCACGCACAGGTGGACCTGACGCATTCGCGGTATCAGAGCAATTCATCAAAAGTAGTTGCACCATTTGGTACGACTGTACATGTATGTGTGTACAGATGGCGTGTACAGATACTGCGGGAACTTTGTAGGTAACGGCGCGGTCATATTCGTCGTATACGATCCACGTACAATTAGTAGAAAATTCTTCAATCATTGACTGTATTTTGTAAGGTACAATTTGGAGGTACGTGGTTTTACCTTACAAAATAGTCACTGATTGGAGAATTGTCTACTAACTGTTAATTCTACGTGACTGATGAACCTCTTCAACGATCCACGTACAATTGCAAACCGAAGGTATTTTCGTGATGGTTGTACGTGGTTGGTTCAGATTGTTACCGACAAAGCTGTCTTTGACCCTTGTAGACAGCTGGTTGTGCAACAGCCTACTTAAAATCTACAGCATCTTAATCGTACGACGATCGTAATTACGTCGTATATTCGTCGTACAATCGTAGTACGATTGCAAAGTGAGGACAAACATGTAATTGTGGTTTTCATTCATGTGTCACAAAATTCAGCTCTCTTGTTACGAAAAAGGTTCTTATATTCTTAGACCCTTCTCGGACATTGTTTGTGTCTCAGTCTACTGACAAAAATATACGACGTCGCACGACAATCTACGACGGATGTGACCGCACCCTCACTAGCCCCCCTCTCCATACGACAATGGTAAGACTTTACCAGATCCAGACCTTAACTGTATGAGTAAGTGGTCCTGTCTGTTTGGGTTTAAGTCACCTGTGGTATTTACTATCGACGAACGGACTATAGCTATCGGCAGCACTTAAGCTAAGCCCGTTATTCAGCATGTATAAATAATGTTTACGTGGCTTCATGTTGAGTACGGGCAGTCAGACAGATGAAGTTTCACGAGCCATGTTTCTAGCTGATAATCTATATAGATAATTTGGCTGATTTTAGGCCAGTACCTACATGCACAACTCCTACATGCACAACTCCTGTGCAAAGATTGTAAAAAAAAGGTGTAACAGGTCGTTTGGTGTAATGTAGCCAGCTGCCGCCGCACCGCGTGCCTGCAAAGCTGGCGTGTTACGCCGAAGGACAGTTATACCGGCTTTACAGATACAGATGCACAATCAACGATCTATACAAATGACAATCTACATATGTAGGTACGGGAGAGAATACATGCAAGATGTAAATATGTACCTTAATATTTTCCTCTTAGAAGCTGACTGTATGTATTGTTGCCATAGCGGTCTTATATATCATGGAATAATATTTATGTGTGTCCTGTATGTTTAAGAATCCAAAACAAATACAATTGGCCTTATTTACGTCTTTACTAAATACACTTCAAACACATAGGTTAGTTAGGCAGATTTGAACAGCCCTAAAGCAGTACGGAATAAGCGAATAAAAACAACTGAATGATAACAGTTGAATTGTTATCACTGCCTTAAGTGGGATAGATCTATAGAGTGGCCCAATGATGTAAGTCAGTGAAGTGCAATAGCTATGCATGTAAATGTACAAAGTCATTGCCTTTAGCATGAAAGTCCATCTGTGTTGGTACAAGTCATTATGAAATAAAGACTCAGCTTTAACTTCCAACACTTAGATTTACAAAATTTGGCCTTACCCAAATTTTCGGTTGACTCCATCAACCTTGTTCACGGAATGAACACATCTATTGGGGTAAGTCCCAATTCTGTAAATCTAAGTGTTGGAAGTTTTTTTTTTTTTTAATTTCAACATGTAATCACCAGACGTGCTGACGGCACACTCAAGTTTTTCAACTTATATTAATGCCGCCACCAACACAGGAGACAAATACATGACAAGACAGTACTCATTTTCACCTGAGCGAAGTGAGGAAAGCCGTGTAAAGTGACTTTCCTATGTTGGAAGTTAAAGCTTAGTCTTTATTTCATAAAGCCATTGCATATTGAATCTGAGGAGACTCCTCGCCACCTGTGCGGGTGTCACGGTCGATGAAACACCGCAGCGGAACAGACACTTATTAATTAGCCGGGAGCAACTTAAAGGGCTTTTCTGCTAACGGAGATGGAACATCAATGGGTACATTACGGATTCCGGTAATAATGACAAATCTGCTCGGGAATGCCCGGGGGGGTGATAGCGACATTAGGCCATGTTGATTTGATTTTATGGATAACATCTACGCTCGCATGAATTTTCGTCCGTTTCCAAAAAAAAAAAAGTTTTCGACCATACTGTAAATTGTAGAAAATGAGAGAATATATGTGGTATGTTGCAAAAAAGTACAAAGGAGAGAATATATGTCGTATGTTGCAAAAAAAAAGGATTGAAACACGATTAATGTCATAGAATGCCAAGCTCAATTCAGGAAGAAAATGTGAAGTAATGAAAATGAAGAGTCGTTTATTATTCGCCATACCATACTCTTTTTGTTCAGTCATTTGTTCAACCTTTGTAGATTTCATGATGAAAGCAACTTTTCTTTGAAATACTTTTTTAATTCACACGCTTGCCTCAGTTTTGGGGTTCCCAGAGGATGTCATCTCTATAATTGAATCAACATTGCCTTAGGCTCGGCAAAAAAAACCGGCTGCTCAGCTGTTCCGGATGATGGCTTATGCCTAATTGTGTTTTTTGACAATAATAATGATAATTAGAAAGAAAGAAATTTTACCCGGAGGCTAATTGTAAGTACTGCAATGAATAAAACAATAAGAGGAATTTGGAGATTTTAGATCTTCGGGAAGTGTTTGGGGTTTGTTTGAGGGTATTGGCACATGTATTGTACGATGTAATTTGATCGGTTATTGCACACAGTTGAACGCTTCCTGAATTCCTCCACATACTACCCACCTACCCCTATTCTGTGCGTGCTGGGTAACCTTTAGAGTTAACCTCACCGTCAATTAGAATAACCAAAAATCCACACAACCTCTCCCTGCAACCATTTCTGTTCATCAAGCATACCAACAAACCTACAGACAAACCCTCTGCTCTTTCTTTGGTTGCAAGCCAAAGTGCACATGGCCGTTCACTCTTAAAATGATTTCATCAATCCAGGGCTATCACATGATAATAGAAAGCGATTTGGTTTGTGTGTGAAGAAAGAAACACGGTGCAGCCAGTGTGGCACCTAAACTTTCACTGCCAAGGTCTCATTTGACGCCAATCATGGCCAAAATACCAGGCACTGGCGAAGAAAATTAGAGAATTATTGCGTATACAGGGTAAGTAGTACATTAACTTTAACGTTCAAACAAAGACCTTTTCCTTCGGTATGAAATGTGTACTAACTTACACATGTATGCCTATGGTTTTCTCGTATGTATGTATGTATGTGGAATGAGTACCTCTTTCGTGGAAATATGTACGTATGGTTTTAACGTGCACGTGGCATATTTCATATTAGATGGGTTAAGCCTACTACATCGTTTTCTACTTTACCCTTTCATAAATCATAATTTGAAGGAGCACTAACGTCGAGAAAGAGTTATTGTTTTTCAATAGCCAATACATTTAGGAATTAAAAATGTATAGTAGTTAACAGTATGCGATCAAGTATCCCCTAGACTAAAGCACATATAAAGTACGCGAAGACATCATTACTCTTTAAAACTCTCCAAACACCCTCTAACCTAACTCAGAATCCACCGATATCACCTTACAAAACACATTATACCGTCTGGCGATTACGTATTCATTGGTACATAATCTATAGGAAAATTGCACCGTTCTCTGGACTTAGATAGTGCCACTTTAAGCCTACTCCACCATTTTCTACTTTACTTTGTTTACCAATCATTACTGAGGTATCTCTTCAGACCATGTATTAAGTACGGAACTCCCTAGAAACTCCCCCAGGCCCTCGGCAGTTTACATATCTTTATATTCCCTCTCAGGTTGAACGCAGGAACCACTTAATACACACCTCCGGGCTACTATACAGGAGACTGCGCATGAGAATACGGGATGACACTCGGGCCCGGAGGGTGATTCGGGTTTAAACGTCGGAGTTGTTCAGGGAATACCAAAACGTCTGGGAGAGACAACTTGGGATGATGATGATTTTTCCAGTCAGAGCTTTATCGACTAAAAACATGGTATGAGTGAGTTTGATATAAAGCCATAACAAAACGTGTGTGGGTTTATTGTTACCATGAAAGAAAAGATAGCTTAAATTTGTGATACAGGATCAAATGTCGAAGTCATACGGGGAATACAAAATAATATTTATATGATAAAGAGACTTTTTATTCTCAATCTTTCCCGGGGTGTCATTTTATCGACCCTGAACGGCTGCTTCACGGAGATAAATGAAGAAATAACTCTGTTTGCCAGGCTTAACCTAATCTGAAGTGAACCAAAGATTGCTCTAAGGTACAGAGACTATCCGTTATATTGGAGGGGGAGGGGTATTCTGTAATCTAAAAC